TGATTTAAAGACAGCTTGCATTAGTAAGGTTTGTTCATGCAAATAAATGCTTTCAGGATCAATCCTGAAGATAAGATACAAGAGCAATACTCTCAAGACAAGAGAATGGCTTAAGAATTGCTGGGAGGTAAAGGAAGAAATCCTGTTAGGGATGAATTTATAAGGCCAGAGAAAGCATTGGGATGGGAAGAGCATAGGAGCTGCTCTACATGTAAGAGGCAGCCTCAGTGAGGGTACCAGGATAGCCACATGTGATTTACAGAGTGCAGACAGCTCACACACAGCATGGCCACAGAACAGAGGAGCTGACAACACAGAAGTCCTATCCAGATTCAACAAAAGCAAGGGAAGGTAACTTTGATGTTGCAAATGTTCAGTATGATGCTGAGTCTTTGAGAAAGGACTGGGCAGGAACCATGGACACAATGATGCAGGGTGGCTCCCATCACTTAGGAAGCATCAGTAATTGTAATAACATCTGAAAAAGAGAAAGAGCTTTGGCCAAGAGAAAGACCCTGTGATAGCAAGCCCAGGGCTTATTGTAGAGGATGTCACTCAACTGCTGTGAAAGATAGCTAGTATTGACAGAAACATAGACAGGAGCTCTAGAGAAGCAGAAAATGACTTGCTGTTTGAAGAGCAGAGTGAGTGGCCAGGGAATGGTAGGGACACGACTGAAGACATGACTAAAGACATGAAGCAACTCTCATAGCTAAGATTAAACAAACACGATCTGTAGATCTAGTACAGTGAAATCTCTTCTGTCAAGAGTTGGTTATAATGCTGTCCAGGGAGATTTTAATGTTAAAAGAGATTTTTTTTTTCCCAGCAGTTAGGTCTGGCACAACAACCTGGGCTCAGCTGCAGGCCCGTAGTTTTCCTGTTGCTCATCCTCTCTAGCACATTCTGCAAGTCTAATTAGCAACACAGGCTTTGGCCCTTTTGTTGGAATTATGATGTTTCGACCTTTAGTGACTCTTTGTATCCTTCTAGTGACCCCTGTGCAGCCTGGTGGCTTTCCAAGAGCCTGAGCAGTTGGGAAAGCAGCAGACAGTCCTTTTGCCAGTGCTCCGGATCTCAGTGCCTTCCTGTAGGAGTTTTGGCACTGTGGATTTAACAGGAATAAAAAGCTTTGCAAACCCTGCAGGATTTGCACATGGCTGGCTGCAAACTGTGAACAGGTCTGCAAGGTGAGAAAGGTTTTATTTTTATATTGCTGCTCTTTGAAGTAAAATTCCTTCAAGATGATTTGCTGTGGAGATTAGCAAAAATAAGTAGTTGAGTCTTTGACTAGCACACAGACATTTTTTCAGCAAATTACAATATTGGAGGGCTCTGTAATAAGTCCCATGCAATAAAGCTCTCTACTTTGCTGCTTTCACTGTGACTGTATATATCCGTTGACCTACACTTATTTGACATTTTCTTGTCACACTCTGCACTGTGTCCCAAAGCCTCATCAGATTTATTTAAGGAATTATTTGTGATCTTTTGTGAAATTCCTGTCACATAAACCCAGTCCCCAAAAGACCCAGGTGTATGCATGAACTTTCATGGGGAAAACCATGCCTGTCTGCTCAACTTTCTTCAGGGCCATTGTGTCTCATGCTAGAATGGCTGCCTTGTGGTACCTGCAGCACCAAAAATTGTGACAGAGAAGGTGTCTGACCCTGTGTCCCCCATTCGCCCCATCCACAATATCAGCTACAATACAAAGGCTGCGGGCTCAGTTGGATTTGAGCAAGTGAAAGGACAAGCCCTGGGGCTGAAAACTGCAGAGAAAATGATGACTTTTAATTTGAAAGCAGAGTTCAGAGCAAGTGTCTCCTTGGAAGAAACTAACACTTGCAGAACAGCACCATCAAAAAAAACCCCCAAACTAAAAGCCTGTGTATTTCCTCTGTCAGCTGCACCATGAGGATCAGGAGCAAAGGTGGACACGTCTGTCAGGGACAGCAGGATGCTGGCAGCACACACAAGGTGGCAAGTCTCTACAGCAGGTGCCTGTACCACCCGCCAACACCGGTGGTTGGTGCTGAGCCCTGGCAGTAGGGCAAGCAGATGGCCTCGTGTCCCTAAAGGGCTCCTGGAGGCTAAGGAGGCCATGGGTGCAAATCAAACCACCCTGAGCATCCTTTGGTGGTGTGGATCCAGCCTTTTCCACTTTGAATAGATTTCCCCCATTAACCTCCACTGAGGACTGCAGTTCTCTTCAGAAGGTAAAGGCTGTAGTGAAAGAATGGATTTCTATCCTGGTCCTTACCACAAGCCTTATGGAGCAAGAGGTATCAGTGCTCAGAGAGTCAATTGCTATAACTTCTTCTTCTGCATAATGGATATTCAGGGCAGAGTGCTGAAGGAAAACAGAGACTAACAAAATGTTGAGGACCAATCTTCACTGCAAGCTTTTCCTGGTATTATATAGCCTCCCCCCTTGCTTTGTTTTTCTTCCGGGATCTAATTCTGCGATGGAGAAAGGCATTGACTTTAAAATGCAAAGGAACCATGCCTTCTTCAAAACTTTTATATGATCAGCATCTTCACATAACAGGGACAAGCTCTCAATACATGAGAGCAAAGGGGACTGGCTGTACCTCTAAGACCAGGTGTCCTGCCATACACAGATGCCGAGTCACGTTTGGCAAACATGATCTCCCACTGTAGGGCTGCCACAGAGACCATAACCACAGTCCCAGGAGGTCAATGGGAGTAACTGTGACAACACCTGCATGAGGACTGTACAAATACTGCACCCAATCCTGATGTCAATCCTGAAAAGCAGTGAAGGGACAGAGGAAAACAAGCAAATGACTGAGTCAAAGCTTGGGAAACATTCTACACTGAGAAATACAAGAAGTTTAATCTGAATATATCTAAGCAGAGATGAAAAGGGGGCTTGATCCACCTGCAAATACCTGGATGGAGAAGAGACAAGCTAGCGCAGAACAGGAGCAAATGGATGGAAACCAAATTTCAAAAATACCTGTGATACTATTCTGAGTTTATTTGACACTGAAGGTAATCATCATAAATTAGGAGTTCAGTGTTCAATTAATACAGAAGGTTTTGTTGTTTGTGCTTAGCAGAAAATCAGACAGTGACCATAATTGTCCTTTTTTACCTTACAAATTATAAGGCTGGTAAAACCATTCAGCTCTCACAGCCTATCCCATCACAGGGGAAAGTGAGCACTGTACTGGGCACTACAGAACAACCCTACAGCCACACACCAGCTTTGCTCCTCTCTCTCCATCATCCCTCCTCAGCATCAGTATTGCTCTACTGAGGCAGAAATAGGCCAGAGATTACCTCCCAGGCCAGCATGGACACACTGGGATGGCGGTGGACCCAGCTTCTTAGAGCCGTGACACCTCAGGGCTTTCTGATGGGCTTGTCCTTGTGCAATTGCACTGTACATACAAAGAACGGGTGAAGAGGCAGTTTCTACATGAACTGAATAGCTATTTCTTTTCCATATTGTCACTTTTTTAATACTCTGCTGCTGTGATTTGTTATAGTATCATTTAATTGCACTGGCACTGTTAAGCACTTGGTGCAGTGGGAGTTTTCGTTAAAGATCCTAAACAAGAACATGGCTGTGCGTATGCATTCCTCTGTGCTGAACGCTTTACAGCTCAAATGGTGATACCTTGCTCCTCACCCCTTTATTTTGCTACAGCCAGCATGTCACCACTACTGCCACTCTCATAAAGTCTCAACAAAAACAGAGGTTTCATGACTGTCTTGCATCCGTACTGTCTCTGGTAATGCATCCCCTGGGGGCTGATCATGAGCAGAGCCACTGCACCCATTTTGCCAGTAATACCTCCACAAAGGTGGTGTCACTGCTAAAGCCATTTCCTATGTATAAACTGGCTCATGGACACCCAAGTGCCAACCTGCAATCACTCTGTAATGTAGCCCTGACTTGCTACAAAAGGAAAATAAAAAGGCACTGCACTTTCCATCCCTTCCACCTTTCAGTCATTTTTCCTGAAGGATTACAAGAGTGGTTTGAATTCCTCAGGACTGTGATGTCCCTGCATTTCCTTCCCCGAACACTTTACGATACTGATGGTAACACAGAGTCATTACAGGACAGAAACAGTGACTAGCAAAGCAGATACAACATAGATTCAGACTGTCACCAGCAGAAGTACACAACATTTGAAAAGAACACTGAATGTGTCAGCTATAATCTCAAAAAAAAAACCCCAAAGATTTTTTCCTCCAGATGTACCTTGCTGTCTGTCTGAGTATAAAAATCCTCATACAAAGTTCCAAATATTCCCCAAATAGAATATAAGTAATCAGAACTCAGTTGTAGTAAAAAGCCTTCTACAACTCAAAACCTCCTAAAATGGCTGTCTATAAGATAGTGGGAGAAAAATGTCACATAGATTTTTTTTTTGTAAGAGAAAGAGAGAGAAAGAGAAGAATAGAAAATATTTTAAATAATTTTAAATATCTTTATATCTTTATCTTCTCTACTCTGAATGCTCTTTCTGTTTCCTCTGATGACTGACCACAGCCTTGAAGTTTGCAGAGAGACTTTAATTTTTTCCTCTCAAAAGCTCTATAAAACAAATGAAATGGGAATAATAAAATAAATTCTGAATGTTTTCATTTGAGATCTCAAGCCAATCTGTTCTTCAGTGAATGCAACAGTCCTTGTGGACCTAAATTTTCTCTCCACTTTCATGTAAATACTCTACCACATTTTAACCACAATAAATATGAGTAAATGCTTCCTTTTTTTGCACCCTTTAAAACTTTAAGATACCTCACAAACCCGTTTTGGGGGGAGGAGCAATGATTTTCACTGTATAAAATGCATTAATATTTATTCATTGGCAAAAACAGCAACAGCAAATATTTTTGACTGAGCGATCACAATCTGCAGATGCAAACTCTAATTATGTTAGTCATTATATCTTCACCTGAAACATTACATTTGTCCAAACTGTAGCTATTAGAATATTTAAAAAAATGAGACTCACCTGCCTTTTTTGTATACCTCATGTATTTCTTTTCCTTGCCGGTGGGCTCTGCATTCAGTGGATAAAACCCATCCCCACAGCAGGAGGAAGATGCTAAAATACATTTTATGGACAGTCAACATGTTACCTGAAGGTTCTGTATCCAGAAATAGTCCATACAAGAAGAAAAAAAAACAAATGTAGATCCTGTTCCTCTTTTTAAGACATTATCGGTCTGATCATTATTGGAAGGATGTTTACTCATACAAAAAATCATCCTGCAGTATTTAATCTGGACAGTGGGGAAAGCAATTTCCACTAAACCTATAAATCCTTCTACGTCAGATGGCAGGGATTTTCTAGCAGTGTTGAATTCACGTATTCTCAGAGAACAATTATGTTTCGTTCAAAGAGGCTATTTTATAAATTGGTTTAAATTGAACCCTTTTCGAGTACCTGTGGGATATGACATGTAGATATTTCTGCCTGGTTAACCAAAGTGGTGCAGCTGGTCAGACAGGTGTCATTAGTCACTCTTCAATCACCAATGTGTAGCGGTGCTGTTTGTTACAGACATTGCAATACATTGAAAAGTGTAAATAAATATATATCAGTTTCCAGCAAAAAACTTATTTCAATTTAGCTCTGCAAACAGTATTTTGATCCTGTGTGGTTTTCCACCTTGCTTTAATACACAGCGGTACTCTGGCTGGAGTGGTTGGTGCTTTCAAGACTTGTGTCATGTTCCTCACTGCTCTGCTGAGCAGGGTCTCTGGAAAGTCTCCTGGTGTGCAGAGGAAGCGGGGAGGACAGCATGGGGGAGATAACTCTCCTCTCTGCACAGGGCTGTTTGGGGGGATCCTGCTGAAGCAGAACAGCAAATGCCAGAGCTGCAGGAGAGCTCAGGGAGCTGGTGTGCTGGGTCTCATGTGGCTGACAAAATCCTCATTGGTGCTAAAGAAGATAAAACAGCATGGCCAGAAACACATGGTTGAGCCATCCATCTCTTTGGAGCTCCATGTTTACTACTGTTCCCCCAAAGCCTTACAGCTCTGATCCCACTTGTGTCTTATTATAGAGATGTTGCCCTGTGTTCAGCAAACACCAGCCTTGTCCCATCCCTTTCCTGACAAGGCTCTTCTTCCTCTGCCTGTTACCCATGGATTTCTATTTTAGATCAGTTTGTCAAGTCACCCATCTCTTCATGAAAGCCCTTTCTAGAAACCCTGGGGAGCTGATCTCTACATAGTCTGAGTTGCCGTGGCTTTATTGACTTCAGTGTGCATTTACACTGTCTCAGGATCCACAGGAACAACACATCGAAAACCACTGAAATTTCATTCCATCAACTAAAATTCAATTTAATGATATGCTGGGTTAAAACATTTCCTGCACAAAGTCACACAAGCTTCAGAAGATGGGCAATCAGTCACCAGCAGTCTACAGCAATGGTTAATCACTGTTGTTGTTCAAAGTTGTACCCATCTTATCTTTGAAAATTACCTGCATTCAGTTTCCACTGATTCACATATTCTTCTTAAGGAGAATAAAAAGTACCTTAATAACTGTTCTTTTCACCTGTGGTGATATTAGATATACTCTTCTCAGTCTTTGCAATAATCTGTATAAAGTTTTATGATGTCTTTCATCATGGGAACTTTTGAAATACATTTTTGTTACTTCATACACATCATTAAAAAATGCTAGTCCGCTGCTTATGCACCAGAGGAGCAATGGAGATTTACAAGCAATGGATAACTATGAACTCACTCAGCTGCCCTGGAAAAGCTGGAGGTCCCTTGGTACACATGAGAGGAGGGAAATATTCAACCTCTCACTAACAGAGGGAATTTACTAAAGGAAGATATGGAGAAGGCCAAAAAATGTGTTCAAATCCCCTTGTTTGAATTGTTGTTCATAGAAAAGTTCAAATATGAGCAATTCATAGAAAAATCCTGGAACAATCATTAGACAACTTCTAAACTCCTGGACGAAAATGGCTGGATGGGGAATAGACATGGGCTTATGAAGAACAAAGAAGTTGAACAAACTTCATTTCTTTCTCTGACAGGCCATCAGGCTTCATAGCTTGGGGAGAAGCAGTAGGTTTAGATAAGCTGTTAACACCATCTCATACAACATTCTCGTAAGCAGGACAGGGAAGCACGGTCTTGATGAAATATTTGTAGGACTGATGAAAAACATTGCTAGCTTTAGCTTGGTTTATCTTGCTGTACCTCAAGAGCAGTTATCCATGACTCACTACCAACATGCAAGAAAGCAACTTTTGCAAATGATCTGCAAGGAAGCTCTGAACCATCTGAGTGCATAGCCCAAAGTGAAGGCTTGAAAGGGTAAAAATGGCAAAGTATATGTCTTCAGGTATGTAAGAGTCACTTTAAAGAGAAAAATATTCTGTTCCAAATGGCCATGATACACAGAACAAAAAGTAATGGGCTGAGAGATTAGTAAGGAAAAAAATGAGGTTAGATACTAGATTAGATACTAGAAATATTTTCTAATAAGGACAGGGAATCACTATAGTAGATTACATGGGAAGAGATTGCAATTGCCATCATTAGAAGTAATTAAGATAGGTATAGCTGATCTTGTTTTAAGACCAAAGGTTAGTATATATTAACTTCTTGGGGTTACTTCCAGCACTACTTCTTTCTGGTTTTCTCAGAGGAAAAATTGTGGAAACTTGGCATATGAGAATTAGATGAGAACTAGACAAGGTATCAAGTGCACCCTCAGTCAGTTTGCAGGTGACACCCAGTTGGGTGGGAGTGTTGATCTGCTCGAGGGCAGGGAGGCTCTGCAGAGAGACTTGGACAGGCTGGAGCCATGGGCTGAGGCCAACTGCAGGAGTTTCAATAAGGCCAAATGCCGGGGGCTGCCCTTGGGCCACAACAGCCCCCAGCAGTGCTACAGGCTTGGGGAGGAGTGGCTGGAGAGCTGCCAGTCAGAGAGGGACCTGGGGGTGTGATTGACAGCCGGCTGAACAGGAGCCAGCAGTGTGCCCAGGGGGCCAAGAAGGCCAATGGCATCCTGGCTTGTGTCAGCAATAGCGTGGCCAGCAGGGACAGGGAAGGGATCTGACCCCTGTACTCAGCACTGGTGAGGCCGCACCTCAATTCCTGTGTTCAGTTTTGGGCCCCTCACTCCAAAAAGGACATTGAATGACTCGAGCGTGTCCAGAGAAGGGCAATGAAGCTGGTGCAGGGTCTGGAGCACAGGTCGTACGGGGAGCGGCTGAGGGAACTGGGGGTGTTTAGTCTGGAGAAGAGGAGGCTGAGGGCAGACCTCATCGCCCTCTACAGCTCCCTGAAAGGAGGGTGCAGAGAGCTGGGGATGAGTCTCTTTAACCAAGTAATAAGCGATAGAACAAGAGGTAATTTGCCTCAAGTTGCACCAGAGAAGGTTTAGACCAGATGTCAGGAAGCATTTCTTTCCAGAAGGGGTTGTTAGGTGTTGGAATGGGCTGCCCAGGGAGGTGGTGGAGTCCCCATCCCTGGAGGTGTTTAAGGGTCAGGTCGACATAGCGCTGAGGGATATGGTGGAGTTGGGAACAGTCAGTGTGAGGTTAATGGTTGGACTGGATGATCTTCAAGGTCCTTTCCAACCTAGTTGATTCTGTGATTCTGTAATTAGAACAAATATGAAAGATTCAAACACCCAGGAAAAAGATAAAAGATGATAAAAGATAAAAGATGATAAAAGATAAAAGATGGACTTATATATGAGAAATAAAACAGAAAAATTGAACAAAATCTGTCTTTAAATATTGTCCTCAAATTTTGCTTGTGTAGATGTACAGTTAATTTTGCCTGCTTTCTTCATGAGAACAACTAGAGATCAGAGTTCTAACACTATTCTCATTCAGTAGAAACTCTCTGGATACCAAACAAGAAAAGAATTAATACTTTGCTGTGAACAGTAGTTTCAACAAGTTCATATCTTTTTACTGTTTGTACACTAGCTATGAGCTGAATGCAGTCTCCTCAAATGACTATTATTTATCAGGTAAGTTACTTGGGGGGAGAGTCCTAGGGATTTATATGAAAATACTTTAAATTTGAATTATTATTTAGTTTTATTTGGTTTAATAATCCCTCAGCACTTTTTTCCTGTTCATCCACCAAATGAGTATTCACAAATATAAAATTAAACATACCCTCTGTTTTCCACATTCCCAACTAGTAACAATGTAAGTACTAACCTTCCACACACATCTGACAGTATTCACCAGATCACGGAGCAAATTTTAAAATGTCAATTGAAAGCTACAATTCCATTGATTTTCCTAACTTTAACACCAGTTCTATGGACAGGAGACAGCCATCCAAATGTGAAATGACTGTGCTAAATCCCTCATAGGCAGTCAGGAACTGATCCAGGAACAGATCAAGTAGTGGGGATGAACTGTAGACATGAAGTCAACTGAGCAGTGTTGAGTTTTACAGTAGGAAAGGCCAACGATTTCCTTTTTACAGCTGAAGCCATCTTTCCTGGAATGCTTTTGTGCTTAAAGCTGGATACCAGGCTTATTTGGGTTAGAATAGGAGCGGAATGCAAATGATAATCCACAAGAAAAAAAAACAACATCATCACAGGCAGCTGAAACAAGTTATATTGAACAGGAAAGGTTAAAAAAATTTAGAATTCTTGCTCAAGCAGAAATTAAGGTTTGAGTCCTTCATGTTGGAGGGCGGCTCTCAGCAGCTGCCCCCATCCCCGGTGGCTTGTCTTCTCCCAAGAGTTGCCACCCCCAGGTCCTGCTCAACACCACCAGCTGGTGTTGCTTTCCCTGCTACAGGGCTTTATCACTTTGGTCACTTCGCTCCTCAGAGGAGTTCAATGGGACCTTGGGCTTTTACTTAGTTGCTGAGGCCATCTAAATGCAGGTTTCCCAGGCTGCTTGGGACTATAATCCTGTATTTCCTGGATTTTCATTAACAAAGAATGATACAAAGGTAAGCATTTAATTCAATTTGACCCAACCATATTATAATTGGTTAAATAAACAAGTTTTGAGCCAACCAAAGATACGCTTCTTCCATTTGACCACAGAAAAGTCAACTGTTTGTTCAATTCTGTTTATAACCCATCCATCTTCAAAATGAGAACATAGTCAGAAGAAAAAAATGAGACTTTTTCTTTGAGTCAACCATCTTTTCCAGTCCGTGACTTGTGGATAGCAGAGACCAGGAGTACTGGCAAGAGTGGGACAGGGGAAATCTCCATACAGGAAGATTTTACTTTTCAGTATTAAAGATCAATGTACAAGCTGACATAAATGTG